TTTCCTGTCCATGTTAACCCACGGCCCTCAGCCCTTCCTGCTGGTCCAGGCCAAAAGCATTGTCAATGTTTTTCCACATACAGTGCTTGGTAATGAAGATGGGTACAGTAATCTTACTTTTACAGAGTACTGTGAGAGACTCCAGGTTCCTGAAAATGAATGATGGGCTCTCATTCCTCATCAGAACACTTGTCAACCTGTTCACAGAGCAGAAGTTCTGCAGATTTTAGGTGCTGTTTTGAACAGGTAATGTGAATAGGTATGAGTAAAACACAATTGTTAGATGTGGTCAGGGACCAAAGAAGCAGAAGAGCTCCAAAACACTCTGGAAGTAAACTGAATCATTTATGAGGTTAGATAAGGTAGTCAGAGGAGTGGTGGAATAAAATAATGTACAAAACTTTGACTTCAAGGATTTACATGTTGACATTAACACAATGTGATTAGAGGATTCTCTGATTCAGGCCTGGGGGCCAGGTACTTGTAAGGATGCCCAGACAACTGTGGAAGGCCATGTCTTGAGCTTTAACCCCATATTCTAAGAGGGCTGGGGGCCAGCTCCAAGCACTAATGGTATGAGCAGGCTAGACAATTTTGTGTGCTCTTGGTAAGGCCTTTTTTCTGGTGTTAAGTAAAGCCATTCCTGTAAGCAAATATGGCTTCCCTATTGCATGGTATACTGGCTCAGAGACTCTGCTGCAGTGATTGCTGATGCTCATCATATTAGAGATCTTAACAGACTGTAGTGTTAGAATATTCCATCAGTTATTTCACGGCTATCCAAGCAACTTAATATTTGGCCAAAATATGGCTAGTATGGCATAATATCCACAGATGAAGAAAACACTGAAAACATGCCAGTGAGCAAACTCCATGAATATTCTACTTACTGTCAATTTTGGAATATAATATTTTAAATTAAAGAAGATGATACTGTGTTTCAATGTACTATATCTTTCTGCCCTTGAACAGCATGAAGATATCCATTAGAAGTTACTGTGTAACATCCGGATATTATGACTATGAACACTACTTAACACATCTGAATTTTAGTGCAGTCCCTCTCTTGTGAGATCAGGTGAAATGGTATTTATTACCTTTGAGAATTACTGGAATAAAAAGAATCACTGTACAATTAAAAACAGCATCTATCTGTTTGCGATGAGCCCTTTGGCTGAATGTTATACAGGACGAAACAGAGGAACTTGGAGAGTTTGTTTGCATATTTAAGACTCGTAAAGCATGGTCAGCTTTGGTAGCAGCAATGTGATAAACTAAAACAATACCTTAGATACTGAGCAGTGCCTTTATGGTTCGGAAGGGCTCTTGAGGGTTGACAGAAAGGCTGTTGGGGCAGAATGTGTAGATGTCCTGTGTTATCCCAGACAGTATGCTAGTGACAAAGAAGTAGAAATCAATGGGGTGTGGTCAAAGTTCTCAGATTTTTTCTTTAAATTGTTTTACATTTAAAAAAGTTAAAATGTGAAGAATAAGGTATTTAGCTCTAGTGATAAAGAAAGCATTCTTTATTTGTAGCAAAGCCAGTTTTTATCTTGCTTTAACCAAGAGAAGGACAGACAAAGAAAAATAAATACAATAAAAAATGAAATCTTTATTTTTTGGCTCATTTGTAATATTGTTTACGTTGTTTATGATAATAACAATTTCCTGCATGCATTTCACCAACACATTACAAGTCAAAAGCATTTGTAAAAGAAAGATTCTACATTTAATGTTAGCTTGTGTATGAAACACAAAATGTCCTGATGTCCTTGATTATACAAATGTGCCATTTTGTTCTTGGGAAATATTGTGGATCCTATTTGTACAAGTCTAGTGCAGCGTGATTCAAAAAGAATAAGAACAGGCTATGTAAACAGACACTGCAAGATAGCAAGGATTTCATGAACAGTGAGACTATCTTGGAACTTCTGATGCAAACAGCGCTAGAAATTCGCACATTCCCCTAACACTTTCCTTGCTATGCCCTGTTACCAGATATAACTATTTGGAAACAAGCTGAGTTCCAGATTTACACAATTTACTTCACATTGAAATATATGCAAATATAATATTAAAACAAGATAGTCTACAAATACTCACTTTTTTTCTCATAGTGTGATGATGCCAGTTTGAAATTACTGTGGTTAGAAAGTCAGCCAAGTGAATGAGGAAAGAAAGATAAGAAACAGTGATCTAAACTTGAAGACACTTTTCTTATATACAAAACTGTTGCCAAATGGTGTTTCTTTACATTATTTATATATGCTAACCACATTTCCAACAGGTTAAACAGTTTGCAATATGGCCTGTACAGTCTGATTCTATACCATATAGTAGCCACTTCAAATTTAAAATGCAAAACTAAAGAAGCTCATAAACAGCTGCAAACTATTGCTTAATGATTTGAAAGAATGAGGTCTGGTTGGACAATTTGATTCACTTCACCACTGACACATGGCTTCCTATAGTGGAGACTGTGGACAGTGGAAGGAGCAAGGTACAGCAGCAAAACATTGACATGCATCAGTGATACTCTCCAAACTATCTATAATGACACAGAATACAGCATGTCCTGTTGAGCTCTTGCAAATTACCCATACTGTGGTACATATCTGATGCAATTCAATATGGCAAAGCCATTTAATTCTATGCTCAAATATACACAACAGTATACCGTTAATATTTACATGGAAAAGGGCATTTTATTGATTCATTGATGTTGGCCATAATGAGGGAAGACAGTAACTAAAGAACAGTCTAGGAAAAAATTTGAGCTGTTTGAAAAAAAAAAAGAAAACAAAAGAACTCCCTGGTATATTTTGGTGAAGCTATTTTTCCAGTGCAGAAACTGCACAGTATTTTTTAAGCTGTGAATATTTTAACAAAAGCAAGAACTTGTTCATGTTTAGTGATTTGCATAAAAATAAGTCATTGCAGATTCCTGTAAATTAGAGGGGATTTTCCAGGCACGTTGATCTGGATGCAGCCATACAAGTAGTTAGAATGCCTCAAATTTAAGAGCAACCCTGAAACACGGAAGTTCTTAAAATGTTTAGCTTTGTGCAATGTCGTATTTTCATTTACGCATGATTGACAAGCGCAGCATGCCTAGTCAAATCACTTCTATCTGTACATTATAGAGAATCTGAGAGTAGAACACCTGGTCCTCATACATCTTTCCCCAACATAAAACCTATTACAAAAATAGTCACATATAATAGTAAACAACCTGTGAATTAAAAAATGATAAATACACTAATACTGATTTTGTAAAAATATGACAAATGTAGCAGTTGCATTACAAACAGTGAAGAGGATTACTGTTCTACGTGTTTTGCAGTATGTGAAACACAAAAAAGTATCACTTTGCACTCATTTCATGCTCCGTGTTCTCTGTGGAGCCACTTTTTCCCCCATTCTTAGCAGTGTCAGCTGTAGTGAAAACAGTAACCTCTTGTCAAGTTTGTTACCCTGATTCACAGAGTCACAGTTTGATGATGAAGGTTCACTGTTTTGTTATAGGCACTGACATTAAGTATATATATAAGGAATATATACGCACACACACGCGCGCGCACACACACACACGCATATATATGTGTAAAAACTGTCGGTTTGGCATAAACCTCCTGCAGGAGTCCAGTTGATGCTTCATTCTCAAAGACTGTAAACAAGTTGTTCCACAAGCAGAATTCTTAGATCTTTATTTTTTATTTTCCCTGACATCTTTACCTTTGTAGTTCTTTTCTGCTTTATCTTTTTCATATTTTTCTTTGTCTGGCTTTGTTACACTGTCATAAGAAGGTGGGGAAGTTGTAGAGGAACTCTCATCTGTTTTTTCTGGAGTGGAGTTCCCATTTAGTTTATCAATAATTATCTCTTTTATAACTGGTCCATCTCCTTCTTTGTTTTTATTTTTGTTATATATACTAGACACCTTTTTAACTTTTTGCCTTAAAAGGTAATGCCTGTAAGCACGCTGAATAATGACAGCAGATACTTCCTCCTGTTTTCGTTTTAATGTGGTTGTAATTGGTTCATAGGAGACTTTAGAAGGATTGGCTGCCATAAACCGATCTTCCATCTGTATTCTGAGGGCGTCCATCTCCCCACTTTCCCCCAAAACACGCTTTGTGAAAGCAAACAAGATGTCAAGGCAGTGAATTCGGTCACCGCTTACCATGGGCAGATCCATTGCAATAAGCTGGACTTTGTTTGGTTTTGCTATAAGAAGAGGAGGATCTAATGAAGCTGCAAAATCTGATAGCTTACTGTATTCTATGAATTGTGTTGCATCGGGATCAAACTTCTCCCAGACTTCATAGAACATCTCAAAGTCATCCTCACTCAAGGGTTCAGCGCTTTCTTCAGTAGCAACACTGAAGTTCTCCAAAATCACAGCAATGTACATGTTCACCACTACCAGAAATGATATGATAATGTAGCTGACAAAGAAGAAAATCCCAACGGAAGGGTTGCCGCAGTCGCCTTTCACGGAGCTCCCCGGATGATCTTTGTTGGGGTCACAGTCTGGCTCCCCACTGTTAAGAATCGGGGCCAGCAAACCATCCCAGCCAGCAGATGTGGTAATTTGAAATAGGCAGATCATGCTGTTGCCAAACGTTTCAAAGTTGAACATGTCATCGATCCCAACTTCCCTCTTAACATAGGCAAAGTTGGACATGCCAAATATCGCATAGATAAACATGACCAGGAACAGCAGCAGACCAATGTTGAACAAAGCAGGAAGAGACATCATCAAAGCAAAAAGCAGAGTGCGGATTCCCTTAGCGCCTTTAATGAGACGCAGGATTCGACCGATTCTGGCAAGTCGGATGACTCGAAACAGTGTGGGGGACACAAAATATTTCTCAATCATCTCAGCTAAGAACATACCTGTTGAAAAGAAAGTGAATATTTAAAATACAATTTTATTAATTCATTACCTATAGAAACATTTATTTATTGCTGTTTCCAAAACAATCAGTATAGGGTGTCTATGTTATAACAAAACATCATACAAGTTATTACACTTTACTGAAATCTGTTATTAAGGTGGAAGCACCTTCCTTATGTTGAAATGTTATCTAGGAGAAGCGAAATAAGTAAAAGAAAGAAGACTGCTTGTGTCAAGGTAGCTAGTGTCTGTCTAAGCTTTCAGTTATTCCTAAGGCAGCCTGGAAAGAGAAGTTTCTGTCTTAGATCTAATTAGTTCTTGAAGCTGCCTATTACCACTGTCTTTTATAAGAACTATATTGGCTTAATTTCTGCAAATTAGTGATTTTTTTTACCTGAGGATCTACACTGTATCAGCACAGCTTCTCTCAGGTGTATCACTCTGTAAGACTTAAGTTTTGTCACACAATTAATTTGCACCTTGGAGAGTCATTAGCTTTGATTTGACAGAAATTTAAATATTCACCAAGACCTTAGTTAGCAAAAGCAATTAAAAATCTCATCCCCTTCACATACTTTCCCTTTTTAGTCCTGAAAACAAATTTGTGGTTAGTTCGCATATACCACTAGACATTCCTTTTTATATTTGTACATGTTAATCTAATGTGCCAAATAGTTCCTTTACATCTTTTGATGTGGAAGATGACAGTGAATGTAATGGGAGAAATAAAAATCTTACATGCAACATTTCATAAATTGTATGCTATAAAGTATGAAGATCTGAATCAACATCTAAGTCATATAGGAAACAGAAAATTTCATATTCAGTATCACAACATTCTTGAAACAAATGTTCTCTTTTCCTTCCACTAGTTCTTTCTTGAAAGGGAATTGCTCTTACCTACTATGGAGAGAATCACAACCACAAAATCAAAAATATTCCAGCCTATAGTGAAGTAGTAATGGCGAAGTGAAATCAATTTCAGGACACATTCTCCAGTGAAAAGGATAATGAACACCAGGTTAATCCGGGATAAAATTGTTTCCATTTCTTTACTCTGGTCATCTGTTTCTACCATCATTGTGACCATGTTAAGGCAGATAAGTATCATGATGCTGATGTCAAATACTTGTTTGGTTACAAAATCAAAGACCATGCCTTGGAATTTGTTCTGCAAAAACCAAAATGGAATACAGTTTATACTCTGAAAACATTCGTCTTTACAAATGCCAAATGGGAAAGCAAGTCTTTCCAAGATTGAGGAGTGCTGAGCAAGATCCATTGACAATACATCTGTTAATACACACCAAACCCATGCTGGTTTGTGTCTCATCCTGTTAGAGCAGATCAAGAAGTGTACCACTGTTGGCTGAAGGGACGGGAAGGGAAACAATGCAGTAACAATAGTAATAACATTGACAATTGGTATTATTGGTGTAAAAAAGGTGGTATACCTTGATACCCAGCAAGAGTACTAGCCAAATAGAAATTAATTTTCTTATCTTTATTCTTAGCTGGTTTCAGAATGCTAACACCCAGAGATGTCTCTCTCTTCCTTAAACTAACTGTGCATAGTGAGGTCGTTGGACCGCTGAAGTTGCATGTCTCAAACACACCATGACTGCAATATCCTAGTTTTCCTTTAGTACCTAGCTAAATGTTTATTGCCATATGTCTCTCCTTAGAAAGACTATTTTTAACCACTCGGTGCATAAGGTGCAACAGGTATTTTATTTTTTCCAAACACTGTAGGAGTTCAGTAAATAACAGAGTAGTTTCTTATCTTAGAGACAAATTTATCCTAGTTTATGCTTTACTCTCTAGGTCATTCTTTTATCCTGTAAGGTTATCTGCATCTGTCTTTCTCTTTCACATCAGGTGACCACTGCCCCCTTCTGTCTTCAGCAGCAAGGGCCAGTGCATCCCCATTTCCTACAAATTCTCTGGGAGGAGAAAAAACAGAAAATGAAGTTTATCCGTGGGTAACAAGAACCAATAAATGATCCAATCAACTGTACTTTTCTAGGACTTAGGGAATTATGAAATTTATCGTATTAACCTTATTAAAATCCTACAGTTCATACTTCAGCGTGTATGTTTTTAAGTGAAGCATGAACGATCTAGTCAGCTGAATTAAAACAAAAAAGGGGGGACAAATTCTACCTTTACAAGAAAATAAATGGAAAAAATATTTTCTTTCCAGACATATAACCTTCTCTTGTTGGCTAAAATCATATTCCCAAATGAGTGTTTAATATTAGGGGTATTAAAATCAAATCACTCTTACCACTGGCCTTGGTATAGGTTTCTGTGGCTTTTTGGATCCCAGTTTTTTCATTGCATTGTAATATTTCTTCTGTTCTTCTGTCATAAATATATCCTGACCTCCAAAGTAAAGAAATAATATCAAAACTAATTACTATCACGTCCACACATACAACACACTACAGTATGTCTCTCTGTAATATAATATTACATTTATATTTGATTTATATAACAAAAGTTATTTTTTTCGGTATTTATAGTGTGGATGCTCATATGCATTCCTAACACACAAAAGTCCCCCTTACTGGTGCCTTGTCAGGCTGATGGTTGATTTTTTCCAATGTCTGCATGCTCACTTTTGCTGGTATGGCTAAAATGGGTCTTACTATACTGATGCTGTTAAATACCTTGCTGATTAAGATATGTTTAGTGCATAGGAGCCTGGCTGGTGCCTTACATGTCCTAAGTTCTAGATAGACTTTTAGGATTACAGCTAGTCAGGTCTAAAAGTGGGGTAACTTTGAGGGACAAGTTGTGTCAAGGGTGAGTGTTTGGGTCTAATCTGAGGGTTTTAATGACAGCAAAAAAAAATCACCTTTGAGATAAACTTAAGAAAAGTAATCCAAATCATGCCATAGCAAATTATTAATTAAAACACCACTGGAACCTTGACTAACTCAGATTAGCCTTTGTTTGCAGATGCAAATGCTGCCAGTCAGATGTGCAACTGGCTGACTGAATTTCAGTATAAAGTAAATTGTGCTTATTGATGAGTCTGAACTACATCAGATGGAAACACAATGTCAAAATCACTGTCCACTAAACTGGATATTGAAGCCCAAAGCATGGCGTAAGTGATAGAAACCCTGAGGAAGTAGCCCTGGACATGTTTGTGGCTCTTTTAAGAAGCTAAAGAATATTTTCACAAGGAAAAATTTCTGTAGTACACAATTGACTTTTACCATAGATTCTTTTGGTACTGCTGCTTTTTATTTGGTGATCGGATAAAACCAAATCATATGAAACTGCTTTTTCATAGCATACAAAGATTTAGAATGATCCTGAGGTTCTAGTTCTTTTTGGAAGTTGAAGGCTAAGAATTGTGAGGCTTGAAAATATTTTAAATGTGATTATTTGTATTTTTAAAGTTATTTTAAATAAAACCGTATGCATTATCAATATAATTATTTTACACTTACTTCTATGTCAAATGTATACAGAAGAAAAATCCTTCTTTTTATACCTTTATTATTGCTAATAGATAATAGATTGTATTTGTGTCTAACAAGTTCATCTCATTTCTCACAAAAGTGTTAGAAAAATAGAGCTCTCTTGTACACATTTTTACTTGTATCTTTAAGCCTGTTCATGTGAGGTCTGTTGGACTTACTGTTAACCCACTGTTTAACTAGTTTGCAGAACTATTATCTACTGTATGAACACAGTGCTATATTGTATCTTCATTAAGTGTCAACAGTTTATAAAATTAATTAAAATTAATTTATCTTAATTCTTTAAAGTCTATTTAAAAGGAAACTCTTCCATGGCAGACAATATTACATCTAATCAAAAGAATAATGCACATTCCCTTTTTGCATCTTCATTTTGGCTCTTACACAATTTGCAAATTATTATGAACCGACTCATCATTTCTCCCTCTTTGCTTATCAAAATGCTGAAATGCAAAGGTCATATCACATCCACAGATTTAACACAGATTATGTTAAAAAGAGAGACATTTTTATTCAAGCACTTGAAATAACTTTTGATTTTTATTAGCTTACATAAATAAGTTATTAGTTCATTATAGCTAATAATATATAGCATTGTGGAAACATTTTAAATACTTATCTTCTTTTTTTGTTGGTTGAAGTTGTCTATAATGACACCAATGAAAAGGTTCAAGGTAAAGAATGATCCAAATATGATAAAGATGACAAAATAAAGATACATATACAAGTTGTCCTCATACTTAGGTTGATCTTCTACCTAAAAAATATTACAAATTTTATTAGCCATGAGAATACTAGGTGTAAAAACCAATGAATACAATTTATGAATAGGTATATGCTATCTCAGCTAGAAAAGCTATAAATTGCACTCAGTTATTAAAAAGACCCAACATGTCCGTTCCAATCAGTATTTGGAGAACTAGAAGCTGACTGAAGGATTACTCATGGAATTTTAAAGTAAATGTGCACACAGATATGTTTAGGTATGTACATATACACAAAGTTCCTCGTATAGAAGGAAGAAGCAATGTGGGACTGAGAGCAGTCATTAGTACTTAAACTTTTAACAGCAGAAATTTAAATATTTTATATTGTGTTCAGTATATTTTCGTACAACAAAATCGATCAATTTTACTATCGCCCATATCTCCCTGGAACTCTTTTGGTCTTACATGAGTGTTCTTACATCCAGCTAAGAACAGATGCTTTCAATAAACTTCTACTGAGTATGTGTTTTGTGAAACCCATTTAATTGAGGCACATTTCTAAGGAGGATTTTGTTAATGTCTCAATTCTTCCAGATTCCACATCTCAATGCCTGCACCTCTACTGCACAATGTGCTAGAGTGTAGAAATGCTGAAGTTCATGAAACAGGATATATTACTCTGGGAGACAAATATCACTGTGTGGTGATGGATATCACTAATGTGACTATAACCTAGGTTGTATAGAACTAGTTCAGGCATCTGTATTGCACTTTTTTGTGTAATGTAAACATAGTTTTAGGTTTGTAGCCAAGATAAAATTCTAATCCCTAGAAAACTTAACAGATGATCTTCAACCTTAAAATCTAATTTCACTTAAATAACTAGATAACATAAGTGCTCAACCCAAAGAAACAACGAAATGCAGTTACAAATTATAAAACAAAATTAATATATTCAATAAGTTATAATTACCTTACATAATCTTAAATTAATTCATACTCATGATTACCAAAGGAAGTGGTTAAAAATCCTCTCTTCGTTTTTTTCATTAATATTAGCTTTTCCAAAAAAAGTCCAGTTAAGTTAATTTAACTTATTTGGCTAAACGGAAGAAAGTGGAATTAATTCTTTCCAATACAAATTCTAAGATTCATGAAGTTACATAAAAATTCCTTTCTAAACTAAATGTATCTGGAAAAAACATGTATTTGGTGCTGATTATAATTCTTAATATTATTGTATGTGTAGCTGTTTAAATTCTATACTCTATATCAGAAAATAACCAGTAGATGGTCTTTGAAAGTCTTACACTTACATCTCGTGAATCAACAGCAGCATACATAATATCCATCCATCCTTTGAAAGTAGCCTAGAAATAAAATACAGTTGTTTATCTTCCCTATAAAAATTAATAATGTGGAAAATAACTAGGTCACAGCATTTGGACCTTAACTTTTAATAAAATCATATCTAAATTTATAAACCACATCTAATAACACAGGCATAATAAAATATTTTTCATAGTAATACTAGTTTTTTTGAGAAATTCTTTTTTAGGTATTTGAAAAAGTAAAAATCAGGCTCTGAAGGTCTCAGCAAGGGCACAGTGTGTTTGGAGCTGCAGATGCTTACTCTGCACATGAAGGAATGGTAGACTCAGATAGACATTAATGATGGACATGTTCAGGTAGAATCTACTAGAATCACTCGTGGTGACAGCCATTTTATCAAGTTTACAGCATGAATTGATGGAGTCAGCAATACAACTTCCAGACAGATACCAACATGCATCTGAATGTTTTTGCTATGGCTAAACCGTCATTGTATTTTTAGAAATGTTTTAATCCCACATAACTAAAAGGAATAGACTGTCTTCATAATCAAAATATACATTGGTTCTTGAGGGATAAGATTTACAGAAGACCAAGAAATGAACAGTTGAAAGAGCTGTGATTAATTTTTATAAAACTTTGGGCTGAGTTCCTATAGAGACTTTATTCTAGGTAGAATAAAGAGTAAAAAAGATCTGCCATCATTGCTCTAAGGAGGTGATTTTCCTGGACATGGAGTGTCAGCTTTCTGAGGAACACCAAAGGGTTGCTGTGACATGATAGCTGAAGGTGCCAGAGCCTGCTCACTAGCCAGATTTTCCAAGCTTATTCACAATAAAGAAAAAAACAAAGAGCTAAAAAGCCTGTGAAATGAACAGCTGAAGAGCATGTCTCCTGAGGAGATCCAGGAGAGGAACCATCCCAAGGAGGATATTTGCATCTGTGCTTGTCAAAAGTGAGCTTTGGTACTTTGGTCCAGCTGCTAGTTTTCACAGCAGAAAACTTGCACTCTGGGAGTGTTCATAGCCTCTTGAATCTTGCAGTGCAATACAGATTTACTAAGAAGGTATGCTTGGAGCCAGGCTTCATAGATCTTTCTGGCTTAGTTGACAATTGACAGTTATTTGGTGCACTTTGCATAGCACCATTAGAAGAGAAGCAGAGTTTGATAAGAGCAATAAATACAGAAGAGTGGAGGGATAATGTTAATGGAGACAATCAGCTGAAGAGGTGACATGATACATGCTCAAGGATCCCTTAATCTCTGCAGGAAAAGTAAAGGGCGAAAGGGAATATTTGAAAAGAAAAATAATGAAAAATCAGAACAAAAATAAATAGAGAAGAACGAAAGGTCCACAGTAGTGATGTAGTAATTAAAGAATGACACTGCCTGGATGGGTGACACGGATGACATTCAGACACAGCTTCAAGGGACTAGAAGTTTTCCCTATACATCTTCAGAGGCAAGTGTTGGTAATAAGATCATTCACTTTAATCTCTAGTACAAGGATAGCAATGAGATCTGAAGTCAGAGAATGAGAATCATCATTCAGTACTACTCCTCAGCACATGAGAGTCACATTGCCTTTAGAGACAATTTTAAGCCAGGTGGTTAATTTAGGAATCAAGGTCAGCTAGGGATACTGACCTGCTCCAGGACAGAAGGGACAAGCGTATCATTCTTAGATAACTTGGTGATACCAGAGCAGTAACAATCCCATGACATTTCTGACATCTTTTCATACAGTGAAGCTGTATGTCAAGTTATAGACAAGTGATTCTACAGAGCTCAATCATCTAAGCATAATTGCTTGCTTTCTTGCTTGTGTTTTGGGTCAGATATCAGCTATCAGAAGCTCCATTCTAAGCCAAGGAGCCTGTAAAGAGCTAAGGTCTTTACTTCTCTTGTCATAAGTAAAAAGTACACTCAGTACCTAGAACAAAGATGTTTCTGTATCACAGTGCATAGGAAAAGGACTTGAAGGGGAAATACAATTTACAGACGTTGTATAGGTAGCAGGAATTAATAGAATGAATATGCCATGTAATACAATAACATCTAATACTTCACAAGTATAATACTGCAAGTAACATAATATTTATTTAGTATATTATAATGACTCTTTAACAAGCATTAATGGAATATGATAGTTATAAATCATGAGTATTTTTTTGTGATAAAAGTATTTTATATTTTCCTATTTTACCCATAGTTTAATGTCTTTGTAGTTTCATGTACTTAATGAAATATATTTGTTTTAGTAGCAAGTGCTGTTTATCTGCAAACATCAACAGAAAGCGTTATATGATTAATCAGACCTAATACTCAATTAGGATCTGTCTATCAGTAACTATCCATATTCTTCCCAATGGGCAGCTCCTACTTCTCTCAGAGGATTTCAGAACTCTTACACAAGTATTATGATAATAAAGAATTGGCTCCAGGCTACATGAAACGCTGGGTGCCCCAATCTCAGATCTTGCATTATTTATGATTCCTTTCCCTAAACCCACTTCCAGGTCTGGAAAATCAAGCCCCTGTTAAACAAATATCTGCACTGGAGACACCAGGTTGACATATTTTTATTTTCACCATTTAACTTACAAACTGATTCCATAAATGAGTATAGACATGAAGAAAAATCCACTCTACCTTGACCAGGCTGTTGACAAAGATTATTTCACAGTGCCAAAAGTGCCTCGATTAATGGATTTTGACTGTGAAAGATGTTGCTGTGTATGTATAATGATACCTAGGAACAGATTACGTGGTAGGTATTGGCAGTAGTTGCTCACTTCAGACCAGACAGTCAGTTAGGATGTCTGCCCTCTTTTAAGCTGCTGTCTGCCCTCCTGTCTTACAAGATAACTGAGCTCATAAAGGAGAGGAGAGACCTTTTTAATAATTAGAGGGACCTCTGAGCCTTGTCCACCATGGCAAGACTCATGAAATGCATTCCTGAAGCTTATACTGTGCACCACTAAAAAGATTCTTGTACCTTTTTCACTTATTATTTTCACATTATTATCATCATCATGAGACTGTATTCCCTAGCCTTGGAATGGAAAGTTACTCTACTATCATTAATACAAAAATTACAGGTAACAGTGCAATAGAGTTGTGTAAGCTGTATATCATTGCTATGAAGAAATTATTCCACTACTCAACAGTCTTAACTTGCCCATTTTTCCTAGACTAATTTAAAAAAAGCAATAAGAAAATATATAAATTTACTTACTACTTGAAGCAGAGCAAGATATCCAGCTCCTACATTATCAAAGTTTACTTTCACATTTTTCCATCGGGCACTTTGATTGTTTTTTATGAGTTCCTCACACTGAGTATAATTGTTGACATCACTGACATCAAACATCTCACCAGTTGTGGTGTTGACACAGTGATAGAATTTGCCAGCAAACAGATTTACTCCCATGATGCTGAAGATGAGCCAGAATATAAGACAAACCAGCAATACATTCATGATAGATGGAATTGCTCCTACAAGGGCATTTACAACCACCTAGTGTACAAATTAGACAAAATAGCCACTTAGTTTATGAACAGAAAAATAAAAATACTTTAAAAATGTTAAAACAGTATTAGTATGGAATGGACAGTTAAAATATCACATTAAAAATTTAAGGGGGAAACATTATTTGAGGTTCAATAAAAACACTAATGAGATTGCAAAAAGCAAGAAATAAAATTATGTGGAAACCAAGACAATGCAAAAGTATGAAAAAAACTCCAAAAGCAAAAGAAAACCTGTTAGTAGCAAGATGGATTCTTAGAATTTGTGTGCTCTAGAGAAAAAGAGAGAAATAAATGTTAAATTCCAACAATATAAATCAAAACCTATAAATAGAAAATAAACCAGAAAAGATCAAAGAATGATGATGTGGAAGACTGAATAAAAATGTCTGCACATAAAACTATCATCACTAATGATTTTATTCTCAGAAACTTTATGTATATATTGGCACCAGTGTATTTTAGCATCTACATACAACATAACATAATTAAGCACATCTTATTTAGTTTTTATCAACAGCATCTGCTATAAGTCTTGGTTTTAAATTGCCTGGCTCACTACGGTTTCTCTTACACTTATCTGTTAGGGTTTTTTTAATTGGCTGCATTTAATACGATTGAGCTATTCTATCTAGGCAAGTGACAGTAAAAGATCAGATGAAATCCCTTGACAAAAATTTTCTTTCACTTATTGTGATTGAACTAAAAGAAAGCTACAGATATGCAGACGATAATTTTCTACCAAATCAGTAGAGACTGCAGTAGTTTTTTGTGTATGGTTTCGAAAATAGTAGTATTTTTCAATTCACTAATTTGACTGAAAGGAGTCTGAGATCAATGGAGATTTTGCCCATTTAGTAGATAGGGACTTGCAGTGCAAACCATGTAAAACATAGTGGTGATGATGATGTGCCACAGGACACTCTCCCCTACACTGGTTAGTGCAGCCACCTGTAGAATATCAGCAGCTTCAACCCAGACAGGAACCACACTATTTATTTGGAAGCTTAAGACCCAAGACCAAACTATAAATATGTATTGCAGCATCTGGCTTTTTTGAGGTGAAAGGTTAAGAGGAGTTTTCTCAGTAACGTTACCTTGTTAATTTTTTATGCATCGTTTTTTCCAGGAAACAGCATAGTCTGCATTTTCAGCAGACAGCTCATAATAGTTTGGTTTGGGGGTTTTGTTTGTCAGATTGGCAGAACATGAAAATAATAATTTACTCAAAAGGAAGGATTTAGCTGTGGAGGAGGAGAGGTAAGATGGCAGTAGATGCATTCACATGAAGTAAAGGACACTAGCTGAGAATATGATTTCTCGTCGCTCCCCTTCTATACTTCCAACCCCATCCTTATTTCACTATCTGTTCAGAGACCTTTTCCCTAATCCTACAGCATTTATTGTGGGATTTTTTTCTCCAGGCAGGTAGAGAGGGAGCCACAGGGAGCCTTTAGTTTCTCGTGTGTCACTGTTGTCAGCTTCTTTACCTTGTTTTGTTTTGTTTTGTTTTCTGGCTAATCCTGTTCCATCCTGAACCACTGGCAAACTAACAGAGAATAGAAGTTAGCTACAGAAATTTATAAAATGAAGTCCCTAGCTAAACTGGAGAAAAAACCCCCAACCCTCTGCTCTAAAATGTCTCATGTCCTTTTACTTTTCTATATAGGTCCACAATTCAATGGAAATTTTAACAGTCAGGGGGCTGGAATAACACAACTATGCAGCAGTGAGCAGGCAAATTTAATGAGCTCAAGGTGTAATATCAAGGTGTAATATCCAAGCTGTACACGCCTTGTGTATAAGGACATGCTGGAAGGCCTTTTTTCCACACATTTTTGCACACATTCCCATTCTAGAGTTCTTTGCAGAAGGCATGGGTGTCACACTTCTACATTAATTTTTGTACGCATACATTCATTCAGACTCATTCATTTTATCTCACCCTCATTCCTTCAAATCGTGACAAGGCTCTTAAAGGTCTTAAAGCTCTTAATGTCCGAAGCGATTTAATGGCACCAAGTTCAGAATAGCCCAAAGCATTGGCTATTAAACTAACCAATGAGACCTATAAATATACAGAAAAAATATTATTATAAAATTGTTCTACACTTTATTTAAAAAGAATACAGATTCAATCAACAGAAAGATCAACAGTGACAAATGGAAGAACACCATTCTTGCCTATAGTGACATTGGAGGCCCAATCCTACAATTTTCACAATTTGCCTCAAAAGGCAAAAGGTCATATGAATGCATGTTTGAAAAAGGAATATATGCTATTAAATGTCTGTTATGGCTGGGTAGGGTTTAACAGTTGGATGGAAGCACACTGTTGGTGAAGGGTAAGATTTTCAGAAATATTTAAAGACTAAATAGCCATATTTTCAGTAACTTCATTAAGGTTCAACCTTCCAAGCAATTTAAAATTCTGAATACATTAGGACAGTTTACTAACTATTGACAATATTATTAATATGTATAATCACTAATAATTTGCTAAATAATGTAGTGGTTAATTAGGTTTTGTTATAAATATTACTTCTAAGTCAAACACTCAATTCATAGCAACAATAGCCAGGGTATCTATGAAATATATATTGACAGAGGTGGTACTTTCTCACTTGCCTGACAACTGTCTCAATAGTCTTTTTTCTCTTCTAAGTTAAGATAGGATAGCTATTAACAGATGCTAGCATTATAACAGTAAGTGCTTTATTATCTACAATAGTAGTGAGCTCCTGACTCATGTTACCGCCATTTTATTATAAGCCAATCCACTCCCAGAAGGAGCAATTAATTTGCTTCTCAAATGGAACTGAATTTTAAACAGTGTTAATGTGAAATAATTTAATTTACTTACTTTGAGCAGTTTTGGAGAAAGGAGTGGGGAAATATCATACCTTACTCATATCTTATTCAGTTCTACCACCAAAAGCATAGAAGACACATAAATGAACATAGACATATTTCAGTCCTTGAAAAAAACCCTCAAATGTTCATTTCTGTACCTCAGTCTAGAGAGTTCTTCAAATAACTGGCTGTACAGAAATAGGCATTCACTGATAATGGTGGTAAGATTTTGCCCATTATATGAAAAAGTAGTTTCCTGTTAGTTGTATCCATAAAGAACAATTAGATGAATCACAAACACAAAAGTTACAAGATCATGTCTCAGAAGGACAATCTGAGAGCAGATAGAAATCAATTATTCATTACTCTGTTGCTATGTAAATGAATCTGACAGAAAATAGTATTTTAGTGAATTCATATCACTGTACCTTTCAACTGGATCACATGTCAGGATGTAATTCTTTTTATCAAAGGAAGGCTTATTTTGTTGCTGTAATGGCTAAGTTTGTAAAGGAACTTGCTGTGATTTATAAGCATATTTAGAAGAATGTCTTACTGATTTTCTGTAGTCTGTAACTGAAATCTGTTCACTTACCAGAGATAACATTAATGTTTCTGCCTTTACATTAATTATTGTCATTAACTGTTATTAATAATTGTCATTAATACAATTTATTTGTCCTTTGATTCTACAGTGAGAGAGTTCTTTTTTATCCTTAGCCACTCTTAATATATTACAGAGATAACAGGACATGGAATTCTCTCTATTTTTAATAAAATATTCATTGATTCACTCACATCAACAAGATACCCAGACATGACAATAAACTTTAGTGTAAAGACAGCATATTTTACAGATTAAAAATAAACTATGAAATGTGTATTAAAAAAAAAAAAGTCTCTCCCTGGGAGAGCAAGACATCTCTCTTAAAATTGAACTCACATTAATGGCTCCTTCATTTTATACTTTTCTTCCCAAACTAGCAGTATGCCTTAGCCATCTTTCACAAACAAGACTCCATACAAGCCAGTTACGTAGCTGTAGCTCCTGTAACTTCAGTGGCATTGTGTATATTGGCAGGTTTTAGGTTCTGATTGTAAATCATTCTCCGGCCTAGTTTTCACTTTCCATTTCAACCTATTTGCAGTTTTCTTACCATGGTGCTAGTGCTTTTACATCATAAACCTGAAGTTGTTTCAGAGAAATACTTCATCTGTTGTAAACAACATAACACAAACACAATTTCCTCTGAAGGACAGTTCAAATGAGAGACAAAGATCTGCTTGGAATTCTATGATACTAATTCTATTCTATGTACAAGGTAAGTACAGACAGCCGTTCTGCACTGCTTTGGTTTTCTCAGTCTTCTTAGCTTGGTCTTCTGTCATCTGTTCCACCTGTTTTGATGCTAGTAGGTGAGAAAATAAATGTCTCTGTACACTGATAAATAGATAAATTTCTTTCTTTTGGTACAGAAATGCATGCAGATGCAGTAATTTTAAGAAATGAAAGTGAGCTCAAAATGGTGGAAAGAATTTTTACATTCGTGTCCTAAAACTGGAGGGTTGTGTGTCCACATTTTTGTGTATGGATCTTCTAATGTAAACTATCTGTTGCAAAAAATGTTTTGAAACTTAGCAGTCACAATTAGCCCTACTCAAGATCTTCAGTCAGGGTTGTCATCCGAGCCAGACTGTTGGTCATACACCTCCACATTGACTTTATTTCTATTTAGGCCTGGATTTTTAGTCCATATGAATTCTGGGTTACTTGCTGAGGTGGCTAATTTATGTGATTTCATTCCAGGTCCTCAGTGGCATATGGCCCTCCTCACTTCCAACGCTGCTTATCCTATCTTTCATGTAGTTTAAGTGTTCAGGTATTACACTTAACTAGGAAAAAAAATAAACTGCAGGATTTGGAAAAAAAAAAAATCCAAAGATTTTTCTTTCTATTGAAAAGTTAATGACTTTTCTTAAATTTTGAAAAATAGATACTATATTATCAGTTTTCTAGACAGGTATTTTTGACACTCTCGGAGACAGGACATTGGACCCAATGTAGCCTTTCTCATGCCTTATGTAGCCTTTCTTACGTTATGGTCCTATACTAAGATAATATCACTTTTTCTATAGGTACTTGGTGAATAACTTAATTTATGGTATTTTACTGGCAAGTATTCAAAATTCATTTTGTTTAGATGCATAATTGCAAGCTGTGATTCTGTTCCCTAACTAGCTGAACAAGAGCCTTAGGTTTCATGCATATATCATCTGAATATCCCTTTGAATGAATTAATTAAATTCATTAATTTCTGGATTATCCAATGTTATCATAGTGTACCATGTTAGGATACACATAAAGACATATGAGACTGTCTAGGAAGACAAAGTGACATCTCTTTCTGTATCTGGTTTCCCAATACATCAATATGCTCATCATCTTATTTCTTCTTATTTTTATTATGAAGTTGTCAAGGCAGCAGTTGCCTCTTAAGTCTGTGCATACAGCATTTAGTATATTAGTATAATGTGACCCTGATCTTTTCCAGAATGTTGCTGCTGAGTTAATTGTTCTGAAAAGCTAATAAAAAGGTTGAGAGAGCACAGTTTAATTAAATTACTTTAACTGTTTTAACAAATAAGCATGAAACATTTTTAACCATATGAATAAATATTATATGAGCCATCAATATGACCAACTTTTAATGTACTATACAACAAGCCCAAATGGAGGGTTGTTTTGCTACATTTAATTGTTCAAAAACTGTACCCCATAGAATTTTATCAGGCATAAGCAATTTCAGGAAGGTCAAAGATTTCATTCCACTTACAGATTCATTACTGCCCCACAGTATTTGGCAAATACATGATTTGTTTTAAATGTTATGTATTTCCATTTCATTCAAGTACAATTTATTAACAAAATAATTTAGAAATAAAGTGTCTACACCAAATTATAGGACTACCTTATAAAGTTTAAAAATATACAGCATAAACCAGTATCCACTTATGTAAGATTACACATCATAGCAGAAAACTATACAAATTTAATAACTGACAAAATCATTGGGTATTCCCAGATTCCCTATGGCCTTCCCTGATGTCCCATCTCCTGCTTTGTATGTGGCAAAGAGAACTTAGAGTCATTACAGCTGTACATCAAAACCTCGACATAATAAACTCATGACAGATGGCTTCTGGAAAAAGGGGTAAGATCAAAAACCAAGGTACAGGATGACATAATCTATAGCATCTATTTGTATTGGGTTAAGATATTACTGTCTCAAGCCTTTACTGGATACTTCTGCCAGAATTAGTCTCCCCCCAAAAAGCAACTATGTCCCTGCTTCTCAGCTACCTGCATCCAAAATTCAGTCTCTTAGATTAAACCACCGATAAATGAGTTTGAACTAATTTACCAGACAGTGATTTGGGGTAGATAAGGAACTCCACCCAAATATCTGCTCCTTGCTACAGATATTGTTGCATCCAGCAGAAGAGTGGGGCAGAGAGATGGCATGATAAGGTCCTCAACTGAGGTAGCCAGATGTCATGGCTGTAAACTGACAGAGGCAAAAATTGCCATTTCTTTGTGCAATTATTAAAATCTAATTTGGTCACAATCACTGAGAGCAACTATGGCTATTTCTTACAGTGAGAGACTCACGTATGTAAGGTATTAAAGGTCAAAGCCCTAAAGAACTGTCAGTGTTTACTCTTGAATAATTTTAGATGGAATTAAACAATTTTATTAACTTTAGTCACTTCTAATGAAGAAGTGCTCACTGGTGTTCTCACTGGGAGAATGCCACTGAATCACACCTGTTTAATCTGCCTGTTAAAGCTAGATTCTCTGCTTTTCTATAGGAAGATAACATGAGTTCATATGTTTCTTTCAAGTGCTGCCTGGTAGTGCTAAAGGAATTGCTGAATTTACCTTCAGCACAGTAAGACATTTTTTACCACTTTCTGGAACACTGAATATAATTCTTCAAAAGTAGAAGTTCCAAACCCATTTAGTCATGCTTTTGTTTATAAAATCAAAAATGATTGGTAAAAATTTGGCAAAATAAGCTGCTTTATTTATGATGATGTTCTTTATAGTTCTGAGAGCCTGCTCAGATAACAGCATCTCTGAGGCTAAACTATTATTAAGAAAACATGGAGTGTGGCTTAGAATAATCTGTTTAGGTTTATGTTACAAAAAGAATAATTAAAACATGAGTTGTAGTTTATCTAAAAAAAATCCATTCTTAACATAATCCGGGAAGGGAGCATCTGTCTTCTGCATTAACATCCTCTTAAGAAAACCATTCACACTGCTCCATTCTAGTGTAGATTTTCAGGACAGAGCTAGAGATTAACAGTATAACAAAACTAACTTGGGCAGGTTAAACAAAAAACAAAGAGAAGGTCTTCCATTTTGTGTTATGGGCCAATCTAGCTAGGTTTTTTTCCTCTGGGAGTCACAAATCCGATACATTTCTATTATATATTCATAAGGAATAAGTATTTATGGGACCAAGATTTATGCAAACTTTTCAAGAAATACGGTAGCTTGCGCAGAAATTGCTATAAATGCACATTTGCCCTGAGATGCCGTCTCTCAGTTCCACACATGTATATACATGTATATACAGGACATGTATAGCCAATGAACTGGGTCAGATAATGTGTGAAGGCAAGAGAGCAAAATATTCTGGGAGTAAAACCAGCTTTGATCCCTTCTGACAACATAAGCAAGGCCTTAGCAAAGTATATCACAGCCAGGAAGGCAGCCAAAAAAACTTGTATTCTCTTCTATCACAAACCCAGGCAAGTCATAGCTGATTTAACTATTGCAGATTGTCAGTCCATTAAAACTAATTAATTTTTAGACCAAATAGCCACTGTCTTTCTGTTTTACTAAAAATGGTAACAGGATAGTTTTGGGGGACGAAGTTCTGAGAACTCAGATGAAATCTGGAGCAAATGTATTGTTTCACTTGCAAAGCTGCAATGTTTGTAGAAGAAACTTGCACTATGTAGTGTATTATTTGCTAAGGAATAAGGTAGTATGATCAAAGCCCATTAAAAATAGCATGTTTCAAAATTAGGTCATTTCCTCACAGAATCTCAAGTTTGATACATGCTGGTAATGAAGTTGTTATCCATGAAGAATGAACAAACTGATGGCCAGCCATCCTTTTCCTTCTGGCATATAAATGTACTTTAAATAACACATTCAGGTCACTGCAGGCTATTACTAATGCAGTATAACAATACAACGTGAATTATTTTTGCATGTTTATAAGAAGATTACTTAGTAGTAATGAGTTTTACAACATAATGGACTTTACTATAGTGAATTGTACAATATTAAAGACTGTGTACTTACATCAACAATCAGGAAGTCCAACCAGCACCAGGCATTAGTAAAATATATTTGAAAACCATATGCTACCCATTTTAAAAGCATTTCCAAAATGAAAATATATGTAAAAACTTTGTCAGCATATTCCAGCATGGTCTTGATAGTTTTGCGCTGTTCAATATATATGTCTTCAAAAGCCTATGAAAAAAATATATTCAGGTATTACGAATTTCACAGAATAGTAGGTCAGAGCTAATCTTTCCCTTTGTTCTTCTGCATCCTCTTATTTTACATATTTCCCATCTTTAACCATACTACAAATTGGAGCAACTTTATGTATTCTGCCCTGTCTGGGGTTAAATATATA